CATTTCCTTCAGTTCTTCGGGGAGGGACACGATCTTTGCTGCCTGGATGTTCAGTCTCTTAAGTTAGTCACTATCCCAGCTGGGAGCCTGAAACTCGGCGAAGCACAGATGCCAGATACGTCTCTAGTTTGAGACTGCTCTGAGCCCTGGAAAGGAAGAGAGAGAGGGTGGGGGGGAGGGCTCAGCCTGAAACACCTTTGCATTTTCCCCTAAGTAATGAATCTTTCCGGTGGTGTGGGGGTCGAGTCTCTAGCATCTGAACTGAGATGTTCATAGACGTTAACTCTGCTCGGAAAGCAATGGGACGGTTTTTCTACTACGTGCTCAGAGAAGTTTGGGGACAGGTCCTAAAAACACACACCCCTTACTCTAGAAATGACCTCCTTGCTCCAGGGTGCTGCACATGGTGAGAACTTCTGCTGGAAGCCTTCAGGATCTGTTCAGGCAGTGCCACGTTTGGTCACTGTATTCAGCTTGACCTGCTGCACATCTCCCAAAATAAAACCAATGTCTCCTTTCTACACATTGTAGACATACCCTGCAGCCCAAGGAAGGACTGGCTGTTGTCGTCAGGAATATGCCAGCCCGTGTTCACGCGTGGATCACAGGAAGGCAAAAGCCAGTACCCTGCTTGCTGTGTCTCTGCTCCATGATTCAAAGCTATGCCTGTTCAAAACTGATAAACATATTTAAGGGCAAAAAGTTACTGAGAGAAGCCCTCCCGCTTGGAGAACCTGCACATTACAGTTGAATTTGAGGCTGCCATTACCAGCACATGTTTGCCAACACATGCATTTTTGCTGCAGAAATAGAAAGACAACAAGAGCCGAAGCATCTCTGAAAGCTTGCTAGCTTCTCTCATTTTTCCTCGATTGCGCAAGCTTCAGTAAGGCTTGGAAGGGGAAAAGGTCCCAGATATTTCTCCCCAAGAAACAGCCATGAAAGGAGCTAAAGTAAATACGTAAAGTAAACATCTGCCATTACTCCTGTCGCTCTCAGAGATCCACTGCTCCCTTCAGTGCTGTGGAGCAGAAAGCCACAGGGACAGATCTGTGGTCCTGGGATACCAAGTTTCCTGGGGCAGGGCCTACGTCCTTGGCACTCCAGGCAGGACCGATGGTGACAATGATGCCGGGTGCAAAGGGACGGTGTGGGCAGCAGGGAGGTGACAGGGGATGTGCCAGCTCCGTGCATGCACCCTGGAGTGGCAGGAACAGCTACTGTGGCTCCGCAGAGAGCGAGCAGGGAGCGGGGAAGGCTGCCTCCCCGCCACGGCTCATCCCCTAAGAAAGCTTCCATCTCTTGACATGGCCAGACATGTTCGCTAATTCCTTTTTCTTTCCAAATGCATTTTTCTCAGCGAAGGAAGCTCAGCAACACCCTGAGACAGGCTCAGACAGGGATTACAGGCCCAGAATTAGCTTTTGGGCAACCCACAGGTCTGTTCCAGGCTGAGAAACAGTTGCTACGGCTTTCCAGCGAGCGCATGGCATTTCTGCCTGCAGTCAATGATGTAAAACCACCTCTGCCCTTCATCGCCCTCCCCTTTCCACAAACCAAATCCTGAAAAGTGCCAGCAAGCCTTCTGGAGTTCTCTCAAATCCGCCTTTCAAAAAACATGACCCGTTTTGTGGTTGGGTTTTTTGGAGGTGGAGGGGAGAGCTGTGCAGTTAGACTATGCTGTTTGCAGCTCTGCCGTGACACAGTTTGCTGTACAACCCGCGCTTGTGCACACATGACCTACAAACAGAGCAAAATTCACGCTCAGCTCCAAAGCTCTCAGCTGGTGCAGCATCTCTCCGTGCAGCAGGCCAAAGCATCCTACTTTCCAGCTATACTGCCAAAAGCTGTAGAACCCAAGCAGAGCTACACCCTCCCAGGACCACCCCCACGCAGGGCCCAAAATAGGAGCCAGCTTAAAAAAAAAAACTCCTCAGCACACAGAAGCCTGTGTACGAGGCTATCTACACTCAAGAACTTCCAAAGTTCTCTGTAGCTGAGCTACTGAGGCTCTGGGCCTTATTTGCCATCAAATCCTTCCTGGACTTCTTACCCTATTTCTCAGGATAAATGCTGGTCCTGCCTGGGAACACGTTTTTGCAGGGTCTCCCTCTGCGACACGCACCAGCAAGTAGGTGCTGTGCGTGCACCAGCTGAAGACAGCACCCACTCACCCAGGCTGTTATGTATATTACGATGCTGACATATCCAAATCCTTCTGCAGGATGATTGCCTTTACTAAACAGATTGGGAAAAAAAAAAACCCCATAGATACCGCACTGCCTTCACATTTTCCTACTTCTGCACACGGTGTCTGAATCCTCAGCACTTCTGTTTCCTTAGTTCTCTTTTCAGGAAAAACAAACAAAAAAAAGTAAATATTATGGCAAAAAATACTCACCTAGTGTGGCTTGGGGCAGTCAACTTGTCCGTTGCACGAAGGGTTCTTCGGTGACTAATTCGGAGTACCGGAAAGAATCAGTTACTAAATCGGCTTGAGGTTGTACATGCAAGACATTTGTATTACTTACCAGTTTTTGGTTTCGAGTCTCTTATTTCAAGTTCAGTTTGGTGGTCACTTTCAACTTGCAAGAGGAAGCTAGATTGTGGTACTGGCAGATCAGAATGCAGAAGGGACCGTTACGGTGAGGTGAGAAGAATTATAGATGCGTATGCCTGAGAGCAGATGATGGGTATGCAGCTTCGTAAGGAGAAGACACTTCACAGGTACAAGACGTGGCTCAGTCCCAGTCCTTCCATCGTGGCAGACCGATCCGATCGCTCGTTATGTGAGAAGTCAAGAACAGAGAGATTCTTGGCAAGCAACCCTTCTGCGGCCTGTGCTCCCTCCTGGTTGGTTTTTGGGGATCAGAGCTCGCTAAAGAACCACCACTCCTGCAGACTGGATCTCGCCCTGATGAGGTAGCAGCAGCAAGCAGCACCGAGTAACTTTGCTGAGCCTCACTACTGGTGCTATCAGGGGCCACAGGTTAGCGGGCATCTTATGGGCAAAAGGGCCACCGTCAACGTGCTTTTCACAGCGTAGTCAGCTGCTCCCTTTTGAAACACGTACAAGATACACAGCACGGACTGCTTTCAGCTGGCACCCCCCACCCCCAGTCACTTTGGAAGCGTATTGTCATCCTTCCTCTTCCTCTGGAGTACCACAGCAATCCCTGTTCTCTACCCCAGTATCAGTGGTACACAGAGCAACTTCCACACGGCTAGCAAAGGAAGAGAAAGTTAAGTCGTATTCATGCACAACCCCAGTCACAATCCAGAATGCTATTAGCTTCAAGGCGGCAATTCAGCTTTGCACCAGAAAGAGATTTGCCCAGGATCTAGCCCAACATTTGCGAAGGAGTCGCAGCTGAAGGCAAACATTTTGCAGAAAACAAGAGTCATTCATTTCCACAAAGAACTTGAGTGATGTATTATTGCTGAAAGTGGAACAACAAAGCCACTTCCTCTAGGCTGCATATCCCACCAGCATCCTTTCTCAGTAAAGTTTTGGTTAGGAGAGACATTGCGCCATCAGGAAGCACAAGCTTTTTAAATATTACTTTATAGTAGACAGGAGAAAAATGTATTTCTTTATCTGGAGACACAGATCTACAGCTAACCTGCTTTCCAGTCAGGAACTTCAACATACCTGTAATGGGCAGCCATCGTAGAGCTGCTAAAGGGGGACTCGGTACGTGTTCCCTTCTGAGTTAAATCTGTTCCCTAAACACCTTTACCCATCACGATATGACAATTTCCATAGCTAAGCAACAACTCAGGACAGCAGTTTCAGAAGTTCAACTATATTTAGCCATATTTAGCCAAATAAAGAAATCCACAGCCCCAAATGAAACAAAGCAATTTATTGGTAATGGCACATCAAAGTCAACAGTAAACTTATAACACATACATAAAAGGAGACTATCTGACCAATGCCACATACAGAAAGGAAGCGGAAAACAGCAGCCGTTTAGGTATTGAGCAGACATGAATTCCACTGCTCTCTGCCATCCATTATTGGCCAAGGCTGGTGAAAGAGAAAGTACTCTTTCTTCCCGGGCAGTAATGATGCATGCTTAGCTGTTTCCCTAAAACGGTACCTAGAAGAAGAGAGGAGGAACGTGACTGTTCTTCTGAACAAGGAACATTCCTTTGGACACTGCTTGAGTCAATGGCTGAGGTAGATGGGGTTATGTTTCCCCAGATACAGAGTCCCCATTTGCATTTCTGATTTTAAAAAATTAGTTTTATATGAATTGTGCTTCACTTCTACAAGTAGAAGGAGACGTACCTAGTAATACAGCTGTTGGACAAATAATAAAAAAAAAAAAGGAAAACTAAACCCCAACAGTGTAAGGTAACACTACTGTGCAGTTGGTGACTTAAAAATAGAATCAGAAAACAGTAGGAACAAAATGGTGATCCTGTAATTAAGTGGCAGATTAAACCAAGGAATAGTTAAAAAGCAGTAGGTTCTCTTCGCTCCAAGACAAAGGATGCCATATACCGCTTAATCAAACTGGTTTAAGTCCTTAGCAAATAGGTTCCCAAAACACTGAGAAGAAAACGTTGTCAATGCTCAGTGATGATCACCTTAGAGAGCTGACTCCGGAGTAGCCTGTGCTTCAGGCAATTTGAATCCAAGGGCACAGGAAAGCCATTATTGGATGTCACCAATAATAAAGGAAACAAATTTGCAAGTAAACTAAGAAACACGCATCCTCAGACTGTTGGTAGGAAACAGGCTGTACAGCTGTAGGCACTGAGGTTTCTGTAGGCACTGGAGAAGTGAGGTTAAGACATATTTTTTTCCCCCAATAAATTAGAAAGATTTCCAAATTCATTATTTTGTGCTTAAAGAAAGGCGAATTATCCCGTCGGCATTATTCTTCCAATCTGCCAAGATTAGAGCAGGTCCTTCAGTCTGCGCTGGTTACCCAGCAGCCATGGTTTTCAGTGCTGTAATTTTGTTCTTTATCCATAGCTTTAGTCTTTCATCAGTATGGGTCTTCTTCATCCGTGTCCTAAACAGGGAGTATGGAGAGAGAAATTGAGACTATATACGAAGACATGAATCAAGTTGCGAGTTCAACAAAATTTTAAGTCTGCTAGGCTTCTGACAAGAGCTTAAATGCTTTCCAAAATGCTGCTGTGCTAGAATAAGCCGTAGGACATGTAGGACTCATGCAAGCACTTGCAGCTAAATCTGACTTATCACAGATACACAGCCGAATTGCCACTGTATAACGTGTGTTTTAAGAGAAGTAGCAGCTAAAGCTCAAGCAAAGGACGAACCATAAAGTGCAGACTAAAGCCATCTTAAAAAGCACCACCAATCCCTACAGAGAAGGTCCGGAGCAGCACAAGTTGTTGTTTTTCAGCTACAACCAACCGCATACTTTCAGATCCCCATCGTCTATTGTTTTAACCACAGTAATCATTTGATGGCGTCCCCACAATCCAGCTCTGCAGCTCTCAACTTGAAAGAAACTCAAACATAACAGCTCTGTAAGGGAAATCTCTCTAACTTTCCAGCCATTTTAAGTCCAAACAGATTTTCACTGGCTTTGCAATTTTAATTGGTAACATATTAAGCACAAAAAAGCACATTACAGAAACCTCAAAAATGTAGAATCATTGAAGTGAGTGAGACAGGATGTTCAGAGACTTGGTAAGCTAAATATTTCGATATCAAACAGATGACAAAATACTCAATATGAAAGCAGCAGGACTACAGCATTCAAATTTGCCTTCTCTCAGAGGATGAGAAGACATTTTTCAATTTTTGAAGTCTCCAACTGTCTGACAGCGTTTGCCTCACCGAACTGGGGCTCCCATCCTTTCCCATCTCTCCACCTGCAGTAAAGCAACGGTGCCTCCCTGCTCCCCAGCATGTCGCTTGCAATAGCCTTTCCATCTCCCATGGCAACTCCTTCTTTTGCATAAAGCATCTTCTACTTTCTGCACCTCTCCAAACTCTTTTTCCCCGACACTGCTGCGTCTTATGTAGAATTGTAAATATTTCATATGTAACTTGCATAATTGTTTGTTTTTCATTCTGTATCTAACAAAGCATAGAAACCATCAGCACACACCTGTCTGAAGGCTCACGCATTTAGTACATTTTAAATCACTGACATTAGAATAGTGAATCAAGCAACACATATTTAAATCCTCCTTAACGTACTTCCTGACCGTGTATAAAAGATGTAAAGGTGCGTCTGAGGTAAGCTTGCTCTGTAGGACACCAGGAAAAAATGAAAACGCTCTCAAATTAGGCATATTACTGAGCTTACTCTGGAATGTGCCACACGTAGGCTGTGGCTGCTAATGCCAGCACAGAGAACTTAGAGGCACATTTTGCAAAACAAGTACAGCAGGTGGCAAAAACATTCCGTAGCTCCAGCACAACACATCTGACGAACAGAAGCTTGCTGATAGGGTAGTGAGTGAACACACAGAATTAGAAGACAACCACCACTTCACAAAACAAAACAAAACAAACAAAAAGCCAGAAACAAACCACAAGAGTTTAGCAGTAGTATGTTGTGATGAAAACAGTGTAAGTAGGAAGACCTCCAAAAAAGAGGCAAGGCTGCACACTACCATCTTTGCAAGAAAGATAGTGGATTGAGGTATCACTGCCTCCCGTTCCCCGCCTTAGTGGGGGAAACCCCACTGGTCAAACCCCAAACTGGTTTTGCAGAGACTTTAAAGAAACTACGCAGCACAGTAGCTAGCACTTAAAATTTTCTGAATTTTCACCTTAAAATGTCAGCTTTGATTTCAATAAAGTCAAATGAAAAATCAATTTGGTGGATCTCAAGACAACTTCCCTTACCGGTCATGCAGTATGACCAGCAGTTCTCACCCCCTATAGCCCACACGTGGAAAACACCAAGGAGCATAAGCCTAGCCATTTGGGACACTTCTTTGACATCCAGAGGTGTTATGACAAGCTCTACCTGCTGCTCTTAGCACCTTCTCAGAGCACCAAAGTTGACAAAACCACTTACGAAAACACCAGCTTTCACTCACCACACAGTTCAGACACCAGTTTCTGAGTTTCCGCAAGCAGTTGTCTGTCTCTGTATGTTCAGGCCTGCAGAAAAAGCACAGGATTAGGCTGGACTTTTCCCCAACACACATACTAGTATCTCCTATGGACTGTGAATTCTAGTTCTACCACACTGAATCGTGATGAAAAGCCTTTGACTCTGCACAGCAAAACCAAAAAGAATAAAGAATGTCAAGTCCCTTATTTTGAAGGCAGACATTTCACTTAAGTGCCGTGAAGAACGCAACAAGAGTTGCTATTTGGCTGGCAAATCTTACAACGCTCATCAGAACACTGTATTAAAAACCCATTCTGCAAGAAATTGTAGGACTGAGTTCATTGGAAAACCAGGTGCAGCTCCAGCAGAAGCAGTGTTACCTTATTGTTCTCACTAGTGAACCTTTCCAGAACAGAATCCTCCCCAGTTCAGAAGGGAGTTCAGTCTCCAAGGCTCATTCAGTACCTGGCATCTCTGCTCAGGCCATCACAGGGGAAGCAGTTAGCATTATTCGGTTTGTTTTGTTGTTACGGATACTTCACACCGAAATGCAACACATAAAGCCCACATAAGCAAAATATCTTGCTGAGTTAGGCTGAAATAAACCCGATTACAGAAGTGAAAGACTGTCTAACCCTAAACTGCTTCAGTTCCACGGCCTCATACGAATGACAGAAAAAGGGGATGTACAGCACTTAGTTGATGCTCCAACATGGGGATTTTCCAAAGCTTTCTGACCGCTGGCTAAATTATGCTCATGAAGTAGATTTCAGTGACTGAACTGCAGACGCCGAGAGGTGTGAAATGAAGAACAGTGGAGAAACTGTCCTTTGGCCTGCGTCAACAGGCCAAAGTAGAAATACAGGCTTTAGGTTCCAGCCAGAACTTACTCATCAGACACTTCGATGGAGGATTTCTTACAGCCAGATTTTTTTTTCTCCTTTAGCACTCCAAATTTCCTTCCCATCCTTACCAACAGCAGAACGACCACAATGACGGAAGGGAGAAATACTAAAATGGACAGCAGCACCGCTGAAGTTAGCTGGAAGGAAAGGCCTGCAGGAAAGACAAAGAGCAGCCCAGCTGTACCAGTAGTAAAATATGGCTTTCTTAAGCCTCTGTGACAAATGTTCATCCAGGACACAGGTTGCTAGCCTTCTCATACAAAGCACGGAGTTGGCAGATTTGAAACAGCTTGTCACTGAATCTGTAGGACTCCTATCACAGATCCAACACAGTAGGGTGCTTTATATGCAAAAAACTACAAAGGCAGGCAGGTCACGACATGGTTCTATCAGCATGTCTAAGCTGCAAATTTGGGGCAGGTCTCACACACAGGGCAGATGAGGAAATTAAGTATTAATGAGAATCAGTGTTTGTGATGCAACAGTTCTTTTTAGACCAGCATTTCCTAAACGTTTAAGTTGTTCTACTGCTGCAATATGTGGAGACCGGTACTCCTGAAGAAACGCACAATTTTGATTTCTGTTATTACCACAGATTCCTCTGTCCCTTCCTGCCCCCAATACATTCAGTAGTTCTCAATGTACTTAGCTCAGAAAGAAGGGCTGAGGTAACTCTTGCTGAAATTCTACTGTGGAACTCCAGGGAACCCATTTCACATGTGATGCTCAGACTTCTAAGATTCTGACAAAGCTGCAATGCAGCTGTATCTCATAGATGAGGACGTGCTATTGACATGGAGGCTTACCCCTCTCCGTAACTATCAGCGTTGTCTGGGGAATGTTATGGTACACGTCTGGAGGATTCTTCACACTGCAGATGAACGTCCCATTGTCACTCATCACTGGGCTTTGGATAGCAACAGAAGCATCGCCCTTGGCAACATTCCCAACCCAGGATATCCTGTCTTTGAACTTTCCCACTGTCGTTGGGTATGGAACAGACTGATAATGAAAAATCTAAAAGGAGGCAAAGACAATAATTGCGCCAATAAAACACTCCTCTAAGAAAGCAAACTACTTTTTGGATTGTAAACATAAAGGAATACACATTAAGAAGTCAGAAAGAATAGTTCTTATACAGGAGACCTTTTCGAGTTCCTATTTGATAATTCTGAGTCAGTCCCATTCCATTAGATCTCCAGCGCTTTTATCTACCAGCCTCAGCTCTCAGACATCCCCGTCACCATTCTGACCAACTTGTTCTCTCCTGCGGATCCTCAGTTGAGGAGCAGAGCAGGCTTCTTGTCTCGTGCAAGACAGAACACTCTTCAGCTTTTGCTCCTTGCACTTTTGCTCCAGCTGTCCTATGAGTAGAGACTTAGCAGACGTCACTTCATACAAGCACCACCCTTTTGCTCCAGATACAAGGACACTCCTAAGAGTTCAAACTCTTCAGGCAGCAGAAGTCACTGATCATCCGTAAAGATGTACATTTTCTGTTTCCACCTTGAATGAGAGATTGCCAGTGGGCTTTCAGACTTACGTATTTATGCTTCGATTTCAAAACGCTGCCAACAAAACAGCAAGTAGCAGCCCATAAACCTTAGAGGCTGTCATCATCACCGTCTTCAGACTGTCATTGCACGCACGTTCTTACCACTCTAAGAAACAGCAGCAGTAGACTGCACGACAGAACTACTGGGGTACAGCTGCCTTCAAGAAAGCTACCAATCAAATGCTTTACAGTCATTCTATGTGTGGATAAACTTTAGGTTTTGACACAGGTGCTGCACTGTACGCTGTAAATGCTTTGTAAACCCAAAGTTTATCTACTTTGTCATCATCATGCTATATTTTTTGCCCAAAGAACACTAAAGCGATTTCACATGGGAAAGGAGGAGACAATGAGAGTCCTAAACCCCAAAGTCATGAAGCAGCACAGCAAGGCAAACAGAAAAAATACCATCAGATTTTGAGCATGCACAGAGGCTTGGTCAGTCTTCATTAGAAAAAGACTCCCTGTTCCACTTACTGTCTCCATCTGACCACCTGTGAGGGGCCGGTATGTCCAGTCTACCGTCAGGCTCTCAGTGATGGGGGAACTGGATTTGAATGAGCATTTCAGCGATACTTCTTCACCAACGAAAGCTCGCACTTTAGGACTGGCTTTAATTTCCA